CGGATGACGTCATCACGCATGCAACTTAATCTGGCGCCATTTTCGCGCGCGCCCCTCCTCCACGGTGGTGACTTCTGGTCACGTGATCTGCCCCCCCCCCCCGCGTGCCCCATTGGCGGGAATCACGCGGAAACGGTCGACGTCACCGTGTGTAAATTAGCGGTTTGACGTCACGCGCACATTCTGACGTGGCTCGCGGGTTATGATGTCAGGCGCATCTCGACTAATGAGGCGTCGGAACGTCACGGCGGCGTCCCAACGGAATAAAACCGAACGCGTGCGTGACGTCATCGACTCACCCCCCCAACATACGGCGTGACGTCGGCAGGCTCCCCCTTGTCACAACACTAAAACGAGGTTCCAGCAGTGTCGGATGAAGCTCGTGCGGGGTCTGTAGTATATGACGTCATAAAGAGGCCTTAAATAAAAACACACAAATATTAAAACACAAGTTTTTAACTTAATAAAGTAATTGTATCTTTTTTTTATTTGCTATACAGGACCAGAGAATACGACAAATCGCTAACCTTAAACACCCGCTCGTTAGTAAAAGTTGAAGGCGGTATAGTACTATAGTCGTAGAGCAAGTGCAGAATCATTAAACCGGAATTGACAGCTTGAAAGCGTTTAGCGCGGGGCCCTTGAAAGTGCGGGGCCCGTAGCACGTGTAGTTAGTACCTACACGTGTAGCTAGTAGCTACACGTGTAGGTAGCAGCAGCTACACGTGTAGGTAGCAGCAGCTACACGTGTAGGTAGCAGCAGCTACACGTGTAGTTAGTAGCTACACGTGTAGGTAGCAGCTACACGTGTAGTTAGTAGCTACACATGTAGGTAGCAGCAGCTACACGTGTAGTTAGTAGCTACACTTGTAGGTAGCGGCTACACGTGTAGGTAGCAGCAGCTACACGTGTAGATAGTAGCTACACGTGTATAATATCTTGAGGCTAGTAGCTACACGTGTAGGTAGCAGCTACACGTGTAGTTAGTAGCTACACGTGTAGGTAGCAGCTACACGTGTAGTTAGTAGCTACACGTGTAGGTAGCACCAGCTACACGTGTAGGTAGCAGCAGCTACACGTGTAGGTAGCAGCAGCTACACGTGTAGTTAGCAGCTACACTTGTAGGTAGCGGCTACACGTAAAGGTAGCGGCTACACGTGTAGGTAGTAGCTACACGTGTAGGTAGCAGCTACACGTGTAGGTAGTAGCTACACGTGTAGGTAGCAGCTACACGTGTAGGTAGTAGCTACACGTGTAGTTAGCAGCTACACGTGTAGGTAGCAGCTACACGTATAGTTAGTAGCTACACGTGTAGGTAGCGGCAGCTACACGTTAGTAGCTACTTTTGCTTCTCGGATAATCCGACACTGGATTCCAAGCGTGTCACCTTGTGCGACTGTTGTTGATTTAACGAAGTTGCTTAGCAAACGGCCACAAAACTTCAGGCGGCCAAACCATCAAAGTAAGATTTTGGCACGGTCCACAAAATGAAAAAAAAAACAAGTACCTTGTACTAAAGATGAGTTGCCTGAGTTATCAACAGATGGTGTGGATGTGGTAGATGCTATAGTGGACAGACGGGGACCCCGTAACATCAGCTTAAGTCTAAAAGAACACCAAAGAAATATGAAATTATCTCAAACATAACTTTCGGCAGAACATGCTTGCCAACAAGGACACTCAATTGATGTTGATAACGTTGAAGAGTTGTGTAAAACGAATTTTTACAATTAATTTGTTTAATTAGTTTTACACAACACTTACAAAAACATTTTTTTTACTGGCCAAGACTAATTCGAGAATCCATTGAAATTTAGATAAATAAAAAAAGTTTTAACCGCTCTGACAGCTACAGGCTTAGTGCGGCCTGGAAGCGTATTATTGAGTAATACATATTATAATTCCTTATAGAGGAAATATACTAATTAGCTAATTACTCATCTATTATATAATTACAATAGCCCCCCCTTCATACTCTGATGTCTGCAACTGATTGGGTTCAGGTGATGACGTCGTCCTGCTGCTGATCTATTTAAGACCTGAAGCAGGTGGATTGCGTCACTATTCTGTCAAATCGCCCGATGAAGCTGGTTGATGTGATCATACCAGCGAAACGTCGTACTACTCAAGTTGTAAATGTTGTGGGTTTACTCTCCAACACACCGGTGGGGCTGAAGTAGTTAATTACACTATACACTACACTATACACAACACTATACACAACACTACTATACACTACACTACTATACACTACTATACACTATACTACTATACATTACACTACTATACACTACACTACTATACACTACACTATACACTACACTACTATACACTACACTACTATACACTACACTATACACTTCACTATACACTACACTACTATACACTACACTACTATAAACTACACTACTATACACTACACTACTATACATTACACTACTATACACTACACTACTATACACTACACTATACACTACACTACTATACACTACACTACTATACACTACACTATACACTTCACTATACACTACACTACTATACACTACACTACTATAAACTACACTACTATACACTACACTACTATACACTACACTACTATACACTTCACTATACACTACACTACTATACACTACACTACTATAAACTACACATATGCTACTATACATTACACTACTCTACACTATACACTAGTGCTGTACTAGTATACTACACTATACACTACACTATACACTAGTGCTGTACTAGTATACTACACTATACATTACACTATACACTACACTATACATTACACTATACACTACACTATACACGACATTACAATACACTATACACTACACACTAGTGCTGTACTAGTATACTACACTATACACTACACTATACACTAGTGCTGTACTAGTATACTACACTATACACTACACTATACACTAGTGCTGTACTAGTATACTAAACTATACACTACACTATACTATACACTACACTATACACTACAATATACACTAGTGCTGTACTAGTATACTACACTATACACTACACTATACACTACACTATACACTACACTATGCACTACACTATACACTACAATATACACTAGTGCTGTACTAGTATACTACACTATACACTACACTATACACTAGTGCTGTACTAGTATACTACACTATACACTACATTCGGCTCTTGATCAATTAACGAACAACGCTTTGAAAAGCTGCCGTGAATTGTGACGATTGGCCACGATTCTCTCTATCCACTGCTAGATGACGGTCCTTACGCAACGCTGCTCGATCCTAACGGTGCGGGCAGATTTACCAGAATGTAAATACACGGAATGACGTCATTTGCGACTCTCAACGTTTACGATGACGTCATGTCATGTGAATCGATGCCGTACGACGTCACACATTCGGGAAAGAGGGGGGTGTGGCTACGATGACGGCGCTCGTTCTCGAGAGTGTGGTGAGGTGACGTCACGCGCCCAGAACGTGAAAATGATGGCGTCACGCGCGAGCTGGTGGCGGCTGCGATGACGTCACGCGAATCCAATGCTGTGTTGAGAAACATTTCCGTGTCAACTAACGACGCAGCGTGTTTGTGTGGCCGTCAAAAGGAAACATACAATAGGCAACGTTTCGAGCAATGGGCCTTCTGCATGGCACATTTTAACCGAAACGATGACCCGCTACGACTGGACATCTTGTGAAAGAGCTTTATAGCTCATCGGATTCCTCCGGTATGAATAAAGATTCTGATTTACCTTTTTAAGGCCACGCACGCGCGATATTGTTCCTCCGAATCGTTTTTTATTCCTGCAGGATGAATCCCATGAGCTATAAAAGGGGCCGTCCATAAATGACGTCACGCAATTTTGGACGATTTTTTGACCCCCCCATCTCGTCACACGGCGTCACAAAAAGTGAGACCCCTCTTCAAATATGACGTCACAAAGCTCTGCCCCCCCCCCCAAAAGAAACCATTTAGATTTTGAAATTAAAACCTGCTTCAAATCGCTTTAAACTATTGTCATTGTAGTGAGTATTTAATGTGGCGCTGCAACTCTGATGTTGTAGGAGAAAACATTTATTAACAAGTCTATTTAATTAAGTAGAACGTAGTTTAATTGTTTTATATATATATTATTATTTTGTTGTTTCCCTTCAACGTGACTTTACCGAAAGAACTAAGAATATAAGTAGAACGTGTTGTCGATTTAAAGTTGCGCAATTTGATGTGACGTCACTTTTCTCAAACCCCCCACCCCTTGTCACACATCGTCACAAATGTCTGATCCCCCCCCAGGTGCGTGACGTCATTTATGGACGGCCCCTAAAAACGTTGACTTACATCGTTATGGGATTGCTATTCGCATGAATGACGCTCTATAAAATGAAATAATAATAATTATTATTTGATAATTGTTATTTTGTGCTCACGCACCAATGCCAACGCAGAAAGCAGCAACATCACCCCAGAGCAATGTGACGACATGACGTCACACATACGCCGCCACATGACGTCAGAACAATCGGCACGCTCGAGATCGTGACGTCATCGCAGCAGACCGTCTGTTTGCGCGACGTCCATCGCAAGCGGACCGCCTCTCTTGGCGCGACGTCACCGCGACCAAGATCATCGTCGCGGCGACGTCACCGCGCGAGATCAAAACGCAACGGCCGTTTGCACGCGACGTGACGTCATTTGTGTGTGTCCCCCCCCTTTTTCTCGTGCGAGTGACGTCACCGCATCGCCTCCTCTTCCCCCACCACCACCACACTCCTGCCACCACTAAGGCCGGTCACGGGCGCCTCCATCGGAAGGAGGAGAAGGAGGAGGAGAGAGAAGGAGGAGGAGGAGAGAGGAGGAACGACCCGAGGAGGAGAGGGAGGAGAGGAACGACCCGACGAGAAGGAGGAGGAGAGGGGAACGACTCGAAGACAGGAAGGACACGAGGAGGAGGAGGAGGAGAGAGGAGGAGGAGAGAGACGGAGGAGGAGAGAGACGGAGCCATGAGTTTCTTCGGCCTCGGGCAGAGCGCCACGCTCGAGCTGCGCCTCTCCGAGCCGGGCTCGTCTGGAGGCGGCGGCGGCGGCGGCGGCTCGAGGGGCCGCGCGGGCTCCGCGGGGCTGCCAGCAGCAGGAGGAGGGGGAGGAGGAGGAGGGGGAGGAGGGGGAGGAGGCCCCGGGTCGCCCGCCGTGTTCGTGGACGGGGAGACGGTGGCCGGCCGCCTCCTCGTGTCGCTCAAGAACCCCGGCAAGCGCCTGGAGCACGGCGGCATCAAGGTGGAGTTCGTGGGGCAGATCGGTGAGAGGGGGGGGAGGGAGACACTGGGGGAGACACGGGGGGGGAGACACGGGGGGGGGGAGGGAGACACGGGGGGGGAGACACTGGGGGGGGAGACACGGGGAGGGGAGGGAGACACGGGGGGGGAGACACGGGGGGGGAGACACTGGGGGGGGAGACACTGGGGGGGGGGAGACACTGGGGGGGGAGACACGGGGGGGGAGACACGGGGGGGGGAGACACGGGGGGGGGGAGACACTGGGGGGGGAGACACGGGGGGGGGGAGGGAGACACGGGGGGGAGACACGGGGAGGGGAGGGAGACACGGGGGGGGGAGACACGGGGGGGGGGGAGACACTGGGGGGGAGACACGGGGGGGGGGGGGAGGGAGACACGGGGGGGAGACACGGAAGGGGAGGGAGACACTGGGGGGGACACGGGTGGGGGGAGACACGGGGGGGAGACACGGGGGGGGGGAGACACTGGGGGGGGGAGGGAGACACGGGGGGGGGACACGGGTGGGGGGGGGGAGGGAGACACGGGGGGGGGGGGACACGGGTGGGGGGCGACACTGGGGGGGGAGACACGGGGGGGGGGAGACACTGGGGGGTGGGAGACACGGGGGGAGACACGGGGGGGAGACACTGGGGGGAGGGAGACACGGGGTTGGGAGACACTGGGGGAGGGAGACACGGGGGGGGGGACACGGGGGGGTGGTGGGAGACACTGGGGGGGGGGGACACGGGGGGTGGTGGGAGACACGGGGGGGGGAGGGAGACACGGGGGGGGGGGACACGGGGGGGGGGAGACACTGGGGGGTGGGAGACACGGGGGGAGACACGGGGGGGAGGACACTGGGGGGAGGGAGACACGGGGTTGGGAGACACTGGGGAGGGAGACACGGGGGGGGGGACACGGGGGGTGGTGGGAGACACTGGGGGGGGGGGACACGGGGGGTGGTGGGAGACACGGGGGGGGGGAGGGAGACACGGGGGGGGGAGGGAGACACGGGGGGGGGAGGGAGACACGGGGGGTGGTGGGAGACACTGGGGGGAGAGACACGGGGGTTGGGAGACGGTTCGACGTGAGAGAGACTCAGGGAGACTTTTCAGCGTCACCGAGGGGCTGAGGAGACGAGAGAGAGAGGGGGGGGGGGTGACGCGGGGTGGCGACCGGCAGAGAGGGGGACACCACGTGGTGCTGAGTGGAGACACCACGTGGTGCGCGAGGTGCCGGCTGTGCGCGTGGGTGGGAGACAAAGGCGGTCGGGCGTGGGGGATTGTTGCCTCCTCCAACCTTGACCGGGGCGGAGCGTGCAAGAGGAGCTCGCTAACAGCCGTCGGCTTCAGGCCCTGGAGGGGCATCGCTGAGCCCACGCGAGATAGAGAGAGAGAGAGAGTAGGTCAACTCCATCCCCCTCCACTTACCCCCTCTCACCCCCCCACCACCCCCCCATCACCCCCACCACCCCCCCCACCACCCCCACCACCCCTGACTAGGGGTGGGGGGCAGCTTCTGAGGCGAGCGAGTGGCGACTCTCCACCACCTCCTCCTCCCTCCGTGCAAGTTGTCGCTCACGTGGCCTCCAGAGGTCACAGTTCACGAGCGGCGCCTTCACCTCTCTCTGTGTCTGTGTGTGTGTGAATGTGACAGTGTGTGTGTGAGTGTGTGTGCGTGTGTGAATGTGAGAGTGTGTGTGAGAGTGAGTGTGAGAGTGTGTGTGTGAGTGTGAATGTGTGTGTGAGAGTGTGTGAGTGTGTGTGAGTGTGCGTGTGTGAATGTGAGAGTGTGTGTGAGTGTGTGTGAGTGTGAGAGTGTGTGTGAGTGTGTGTGAGAGTGAGTGTGTGAGAGTGTGTGTGAATGTGAGAGTGTGTGTGAGTGTGAATGTGTGTGTGAGAGTGTGTGAGTGTGTGTGAGTGTGTGAGTGTGAATGTGTGTGTGAGTGTGTGAGAGTGTGTGTGAGAGTGTGTGAGAGTGTGAGAGTGTGTGAGTGTGAGAGTGTGCGTGTGAACGCACGTGCGTGTGTGTGAACGCACGTGCGTGTGAATGTGTGTGAGTGTGCGTGTGTGTGAACGCACGTGCGTGTGAATGTGTGTGAGTGTGCGTGTGAACGCACGTGCGTGTGTCTGTGTGTAAGAGTGTGTGAGTGTGTGAATGTGTGCGTGTGAACACACGTGCGTGTGTGAGTGTGTGTGTGTGAACGCACGTGAGTGTGTGTGAGTGTGTGTGAGTGTGTGTGAGTGTGTGTGAGTGTGTGTGTGTGAATGTGTGTGAGTGTGTGTGTGTGTGAATGTGTGCGTGTGAACACACGTGCGTGTGAACACACGTGCGTGTGTGAGAATGTGTGTGTGTGTGAACGCACGTGAGTGTGTGTGAGTGTGTGAGTGTGCGTGTGTGTGTGTGTGAGTGTGTGTGAGTGTGTGTGAGTGTGTGTGTGCGTGTGTGTGTGTGAGTGTGTGTGAGTGTGTGTGTGCGTGTGAACGCACGTGAGTGTGTGTGAGTGTGTGTGAGTGTGTGTGAGTGTGTGTGTGTGAGTGTGTGTGTGAGTGTGTGTGTGTGAATGTGTGCGTGTGAACACACGTGCGTGTGAACACACGTGCGTGTGTGAGAATGTGTGTGTGTGTGAACGCACGTGAGTGTGTGTGAGTGTGTGTGAGTGTGTGTGAGTGTGCGTGTGTGTGTGTGAGTGTGTGTGTGAGCGTGTGTGTGTGAGTGTGTGTGTGAGTGTGTGTGAGTGTGTGAGCGTGTGTGTGAGCGTGTGAGTGTGTGTGAGCGTGTGTGTGTGTGTGTGAGTGTGTGTGTGAGCGTGAGTGTGTGTGTGTGAGTGTGTGTGTGTGAGTGTGTGTGTGAGTGTGTGTGAGTGTGTGTGTGAGCGTGTGTGCGCACACGCGAGTGGAGTCTTCGCCAATCGGCGCGTCAGAAAGAATGATGATGATGCTGATGATTATCACGATCCTGCTGCTTTCACCCAGGATAGCCTCGCCGAGTCTCAAGACTCTTTGTTCAGGAGGGTCCTGCCCAGGTTCTTGTATTAGCGGGGGCGATGTCATCGCTGCTTGCTGCTCCCGTCGAGTGATTTGCAGGTTATTTTCAGCAGTGGGGTTGTGGTTTTGCCCAATTCCCGTTCCGCTGGGTGTGGGATTGGCTTTGAATGTGGGAGGAAACCCATGGAGAACAGGGGGGGGGGGGGGCGGAGATCATAGAAACTCCACTCTCACTCTCTGTAGAACACGGGGAGATCACACAAACTCCACTCTCACTCTCTGTAGAACTGGGAAGATCATAGAAACTCCACTTTCACTCTCTGTAGAACACGGGGAGATCATAGAAACTCCACTCTGACTCTCTGTAGAACACGGGGAGATCACACAAACTCCACTCTCACTCTCTGTAGAACAGGGGGAGATCAGACAAACTCCACTCTCACTCTCTGTAGAACACGGGGAGATCACACAAACTCCACTCTGACTCTCTGTAGAACACGGGGAGATCACAAACTCCACTCTCACTTTCTGTAGAACACGGGGAGATCACACAAACTCCACTCTCACTCTCTGTAGAACACGGGGAGATCACAAACTCCACTCTCACTTTCTGTAGAACACGGGGAGATCATACAAACTCCACTCTCACTCTCTGTAGAACACGGGGAGATCACACAAACTCCACTCTGAATCTGTAGAACACGGGGAGATCATAGAAACTCCACTCTGACTCTCTGTAGAACACGGGGAGATCACACAAACTCCACTCTCACTCTCTGTAGAACACGGGGAGATCATACAAACTTTACTCTCACTCTCTCTAGAACACGGGGAGATCATACAAACTCCACTCTGACTCTGTAGAACACGGGGAGATCATAGAAACTCCACTCTCACTCTCTGTAGAACACGGGGAGATCATACAAACTCTACTCTCACTCTCTCTAGAACACGGGGAGATCATACAAACTCCACTCTGACTCTGTAGAACACGGGGAGATCATTTAAACTCCACTCTCACTCTCTGTAGAACACGGGGAGATCATAGAAACTCCACTCTCACTCTCTGTAGAACACGGAGAGATCATACAAACTACACTCTCACTCTCTGTAGAACACGGGGAGATCATACAAACTCCACTCTCACTCTCTGTAGAACACGGCGAGATCACACAAACTCCACTCTGACTCTCTGTAGAACACGGGGAGATCATACAAACTCCACTCTCACTCTCTGTAGAACACGGGGAGATCACACAAACTCCACTCTCACTCTCTGTAGAACACGGGGAGATCACGCAAACTCCACTCTCACTCTCTGTAGAACACGGGGAGATCATAGAAACTCCACTCTGACTCTCTGTAGAACACGGGGAGATCATACAAACTCCACTCTCACTCTCTGTAGAACACGGGGAGATCATACAAACTCCACTCTCACTCCCTGTAGAACATGGAGAGATCACACAAACTCCACTCTCACTCTCTGTAGAACACGGGGAGATCACACAATCTCCACTCTCACTCTCTGTAGAACACGGGGAGATCACGCAAACTCCACTCTCACTCTCTGTAGAACACGGGGAGATCATAGAAACTCCACTCTGACTCTCTGTAGAACACGGGGAGATCATACAAACTCTACTCTCACTCTCTGTAGAACACGGGGAGATCATACAAACTCCACTCTCACTCTCTGTAGAACACGGGGAGATCACACAAACTCCACTCTCACTCTCTGTAGAACACGCGGAGATCATACAAACTCCACTCTCACTCTCTGTAGAACACGGGGAGATCATACAAACTCCACTCTCTGTAGAACACGGGGAGATCACACAAACTCCACTCTCACTCTCTGTAGAACACGGGGAGATCATAGAAACTCCACCTGACTCTCTGTAGAACACGGGGAGATCATACAAACTCCACTCTCTGTAGAACAGGGGGAGATCATACAAACTCCACTCACTCACTCTGTAGAACACGGGGAGATCATACAAACTCCACTCTCACTGTCTGTAGAACACGGGGAGATTATAGAAACTCCACTCTGACTCTCTGTAGAACACGGGGAGATCATACAAACTCCACTCTCACTCTCTGTAGAACACGGGGAGATCACACAAACTCCACTCTCACTCTCTGTAGAACACGGGGAGATCACACAAACTCCACTCTGACTCTCTGTAGAACACGGGGAGATCAAACAAACTCCACTCTCACTCTCTGTAGAACACGGGGAGATCACACAAACTGCACTCTGACTCTCTGTAGAACACGGGGAGATCATACAAACTCCACTCTCACTCTCTGTAGAACACGGGGAGATCATACAAACTCCACTCTCACTCTCTGTAGAACACGGGGAGATCATACAAACGCCACTCTCACTCTCTGTAGAACACGGGGAGATCACACAACCTCCACTCTCACTCTGTAGAACAGGGGGAGATCACACAAACTCCACTCTCTGTAGAACACGGGGAGATCATACAAACTCCACTCTCACTCTCTGTAGAACAGGGGGAGATCACACAAACTCCACTCTCACTCTCTGTAGAACAGGGGGAGATCACACAAACTCCAAAGACAAAGATCCTCCCTCCTTGCACCCCTCCACTGGAATCAACTTCCCATGTATAGCCGATAGACTCAACACTGCCCATAGACTCAACACTGCCCCATAGACTCAACACTGCCCATAGACTCAACACTGCACCATAGACTCAACACTGCCCACCCATAGACTCAACACTGCCCCTAGACTCAACACTGCACCGTAGACTCAACACTGCACCGTAGACTCAACACTGCACCATAGACTCAACACTGCACCATAGACTCAACACTGCACCGTAGACTCAACACTGCACCGTAGACCCAACACTGCACCACAGACTCAACACTGCACCACAGACTCAACACTGCATCACAGACTCAACACTGCACCATAGACTCAACACTGCACCATAGACTCAACACTGCACCATAGACTCAACACTGCCCATAGACTCAACACTGCACAATAGACTCAACACTGCACCATATACTCAACACTGCACCATGGACTCAACACTGCACCATGGACTCAACACTGCACAATAGACTCAGCACTGGACCATAGACTCAACACTGCACCATAGACTCAACACTGCACCATAGACTCAACACTGCACCATAGACTCAACACTGCACCATAGACTCAACACTGCACCATAGACTCAACACTGCCCATAGACTAAACACGGCACCATATACTCAACACTGCACCATAGACTCAACGCTGCACCATAGACTCAACACCGCACCATAGACTCAACACCGCACCATAGACTCAACACTGCACCATAGACTCAACACTGCACCATAGACTCAACACTGCACCGTAGACTCAACACCGCACCGTAGACTCAACACCGCACCATAGACTCAACACTGCACCATAGACTCAACACTGCACCATAGACTCAACACTGCACCATAGACTCAACGCTGCACCATAGACTCAACACTGCACCATAGACTCAACACTGCACCATAGACTCAACACTGCACCATAGACTCAACACTGCACCATAGACTCAACACTGCACAATAGACTCAACACTGCACCATATACTCAACACTGCACCATGGACTCAACACTGCACCATGGACTCAACACTGCACCATAGACTCAGCACTGGACCATAGACTCAACTGCACCATAGACTCAACACTGCACCATAGACTCAACACTGCACCATAGTCTCAACACTGCACCATAGACTCAACACTGCCCATAGACTAAACACGGCACCATATACTCAACACTGCACCATATACTCAACACTGCACCGTAGACTCAACACTGCACCATAGACTCAACACTGCACCATAGACTCAACACCACACCGTAGACTCAACACTGCACCATAGACTCAATACTGCACATAGACTCAACACTGCCCATAGACTCAACACTGCCCATAGACTCAACACTGCACCATAGACTCAACACCGCACCATAGACTCAACACTGCACCATAGACTCAACACCGCACCGTAGACTCAACACTGCACCATAGACTCAACACTGCACATAGACTCAACACTGCCCATAGACTCAACACCGCACCATAGACTCAACACCGCACCATAGACTCAACACTGCACCGTAGACTCAACACTGCACCGTAGACTCAACACTGCACCATCGACTCAACACTGCACCAAAGACTCAACACTTGCCTCCCAACGTTCCGTCAACGGCGGGGTGCGCGACCCCTTTCCCTTTGTGTGTCTCTCAGAGCTGTACTACGACCGAGGCAACCACCACGAGTTCGTGTCGCTGGTGAAGGACGTGGCACGCCCCGGCGAGCTCACTCAGTCGCAGTCCTTCGACTTTGAGTTCACGCACGTCGAGAAACCCTACGAGAGCTACTCGGGACAGAACGTCAAGCTCAGGTGGGCTCAGGTGGACTCAGGTGGACTCAGGTGGACTCAGGTTGACTCATAGACGCACTCATAGGCTCACAGACTCAGACTCGCTCACAGACTCGCTCACAGACTCGCTCACAGACTCGCTCACAGACTCGCTCATAGACTCGCTCACATACTCGCTCACAGACTCGCTCACAGACTCACTCACAGACTCACGCACAGACTCACTCACAGACTCACTCAGCCTCGCTCACAGACTTGCTCATAGACTCGCTCACAGACTCGCTCATAGACTCACAGACTCACTCATAGACTCGCTCATGGACTCACTCATAGACTCACCCAGCCTTGCTCATAGACTCGCTCACAGACTCGCTCACAGACTCGCTCACAAAGACTCACTCACAGACTCGCTCACAGACTCGCTCACAGACTCGCTCACAGACTCGCTCATAGACTCACTCACACAGACTCGCTCACAGACTCACTCACAGACTCACTCACAGACTCACTCACAGACTCACTCACAGACTCGCTCACACTCACTCACAGACTCACTCACAGACTCACTCACAAACTCACTCACAGACTCGCTCACAGACTCGCACACAGACTCACGCACACAGACTCACTCACAGACTCACTCACAGACTCACCCACAGACTCACCCACAGACTCGCTCACAGACTCGCTCACAGACTCACTCACAGACTCACTCACAGACTCGCCCACAGACTCGCTCACAGACTCGCTCACAGACTCACTCACAGACTCGCTCATAGACTCACTCATAGACTCGCTCACAGACTCACTCACACAGACTCACTCACAGACTCACTCATAGACTCACTCACAGACTCGCTCACAAACTCACTCACAGACTCACTCACAGACTCACTCATAGACTCACTCACAGACTCACTCACAGACTCGCTCACAGACTCGCTCACAGACTCACTCACAGACTCACTCACAGACTCACTCACAGTCTCACTCACAGATTCACTCACAGACTCACTCACAGACTCACTCACAGACTCACTCACAGCCTCACTCACAGACTCGCTCACAGACTCACTCACAGACTCATGCTCACAGACTCATACTCACAGACTCACTCACAGACTCGCTCACAGACTCACTCACAGACTCGCTCACAGACTCACTCACAGACTCACTCACAGACTCACTCACAGCCTCGCTCACAGACTCGCTCACAGACTCACTCACAGACTCACTCACAGACTCACTCACACAGACTCACTCACACAGACTCACTCACAGACTCGCTCACAGACTCGCACACAGCCTCGCTCACAGACTCACTCACACAGACTCATGCTCACAGACTCACTCACAGACTCACTCACAGACTCGCTCACAGACTCGCTCACAGACTCACCCACAGACTCGCACACAGACTCGCACACAGACTCACTCACAGACTCGCTCACAGACTCGCTCACAAACTCGCTCACAGACTCACTCACACAGACTCATGCTCACAGACTCGCTCACAGACTCGCTCACAGACTCACTCACAGACTCGCTCACAGACTCGCACACAGCCTCGCTCACAGACTCACTCACACAGACTCATGCTCACAGACTCACTCACAGACTCACTCACAGACTCGCTCACAGACTCGCTCACAGACTCACCCACAGACTCGCACACAGACTCACTCACAGACTCGCTCACAGACTCGCTCACAAACTCGCTCACAGACTCACTCACACAGACTCATGCTCACAGACTCGCTCACAGACTCGCTCACAGACTCACTCACAGACTCGCTCACAGACTCGCTCACACTCACACTCACAGACTCGCTCACAGACTCTCTCACAGACTCGCTCACAGACTCACTCACACAGACTCACTCACACAGACTCATGCTCACAGACTCGCTCACACAGACTCATGCTCACAGACTCGCTCACAGACTCGCTCACAGACTCGCTCACAGACTCATGCTCACAGACTCGCTCACAGACTCACTCACAGACTCACTCACAGACTCACTCACAGACTCACTCATAGACTCGCTCACAGACTCACTCACACAGACTCACTCACAGACTCACTCACAGACTCGCTCACAGACTCGCTCACAGACTCGCTCACAGACTCGCTCACAGACTCACTCACAGACTCACTCACAGACTCACTCATAGACTCGCTCACAGACTCGCTCACACAGACTCACTCACAGACTCACTCACAGACTCACTCATAGACTCGCTCACAGACTCGCTCACAAACTCACTCATAGACTCGCTCACAGACTCACTCACAGACTCACTCACACAGACTCATGCTCACAGACTCGCTCACAGACTCGCTCATAGACTCGGAGACGTTGACTGTAGAACTCGGACTCGTAAACCGATAGACTCGTGAACGCGAGAATTTCGTGGACTCTGATGGCCTGGAGGGTCAAGTGCTGTTGGTGAGCGGCAGCAGCAGCAGCAGCAGGGCATTGTGAAAGCTGGCACGGCGCACGAGAGGGTGGACAGCACCGGCACGCCCCCACGGACACCTGCGTACTCGCTCCATCGGACTCGCGTGGACTCACGCTCGCTCGCTCACCCGCCTACCGTTGCACCCGCCGACCCACCTTCCCTACTCATCCACTCACCTACCCACCCACCTATCTACCCAACCACCTACCAACCCCGACCCACCTAGCCACCCACCTACCCAACTACCCACACACCTATCCACTTACCAACCCACCTACCGGCCCACCTACCCACCCACCACCCGCCCGCCCACCCACCTACCCATCCAGCTACTGTCTCCCCTGCCAACCCACTCACTCGGTTACTAACTCACCCGCCCACTCACGCACTCACCCATCCATCTACCTACCAACCTACCTACCTACGGGGAGACCACGTGGGTACACAGGGAGACCACGTGGGTACACACGGGGAGACCACGTGGGCACACACGGGGAGACCACGTGGGCACACACGGGGAGACCACGTGGGTACACACGGGGAGACCACGTGGGTACACACGGGGAGACCACGTGGGTACACACGGGGGAGACCACGTGGGTACACACGGGGAGACCACGTGGGCACACACGGGGAGACCACGTGGGCACACACGGGGAGACCACGTGGGTACACACGGGGAGACCACGTGGGTACACACGGGGAGACCACGTGGGTACACACGGGGAGACCACGTGGGCACACACGGGGAGACCACGTGGGTACACACGGGGAGACCACGTGGGTGCACGGGGAGACACGCGTGGAGACAGCCAACAGTAATGACAACGTCGACGATTATGACGACGTAGAGACGATGATGATCATAATGACGACGTTGACGATGATGATGGTGACAGTGATGACGTTGACGATGGTGACAGTGACGTTGACGATGGTGACATTGACGATGGTGACGTTGACGATGATGACGGTGATGTTGACGATGATGTTGACGATGGTGACGGTGACGGTGACATTGACGTTGATGACGGTAACGTTGACGATGATGATGGTGATGGTGACGTTGACGGTGATGACGGTGATGTTGACGATGGTGACGTTGACGTTGACGATGGTGACGTTGACATTGACGACGGTGACGTTGACGGTGACGTTGACGATGGTGATGGTGACGTTGACGACGGTGACGATGACGATGATGACGGTGACGATGACGATGGTGACGGTGACGTTGACGATGATGACATTGACGACGATGGTGATGACGGCGGTGATGTTGACGATGATGACGGTGACGTTGACGTTGACGACGGTGACGTTGACGATGGTTACGTTGACGATGGTGACGTTGACGTTGACGATGATGACATTGACGACGATGGTGATGACGACGTCGACGACGATGACGACGTCGACGACGATGACGTTGACGATGACGTTGACGGTGATGACATTGACGACGATGGTGATGACGACGTCGATGACGGTGATGACGTTGACGGTGATGACGTTGACGATGACGACGTTGACGACGATGGTGATGACGACGTCGACGACGATGACGACGTTGACGACGATGACGTTGATGACGTTGACGATGCCGTTGCACCAGGTACTTCCTGCGAGCGACGATGTCGCGCCGATTGAGCGACGTGGTGAAGGAGATGGAGCTGCTGGTCCACACGCTGAGCACCTACCCAGAGCTCAACAACCCCATCAAGATGGAGGTCGGCATTGAGGACTGCCTCCACATCGAGTTCGAGTACAACAAGTCAAAGTGAGGGGCTGCTCACCGCTCGCCGCTCACCGCTCACCGCTCGCTTGCTCACCGCTCGCCCACACCATCACCCTCTCACACACTCACCCACACACTCAACCACACACTCACCCACACACTCAACCACACACTCAACCCACACACTCAACCCACACACTCAACCCACACACTCAACCCACACACTCACCTACACACTCACCCACACACTCACCCACACACTCAACCCACACACTCACCCACACACTCACCCACACACTCACCCACACACTCACTCACACACACTCACCCACACACTCACCCACACACTCAACCCACACACTCAACCCACACACTCACCCACACACTCAACCCACACACTCAACCCACACACTCACCCACACACTCACCCACACACTCACCCACACACTCACCCACACACTCAACCCACACACTCAACCACACACTCGCTCACACACTCGCTCACACACTCACCCACACACTCACCCACACACTCACCCACACACTCACCCACACACTCACCCACACACTCACCCACACACTCAACCCACACACTCAACCCACACACTCAACCCACACACTCACCCACACACTCAACCCACACACTCAACCCACACACTCAACCACACACTCAACCACACACTCAACCACACACTCAACCACACACTCACCCACACACTCAACCACACACTCACACACTCGACCACACACTCGCCCACACACTCGCCCACACACTCATCCACACACTCACCCACACACTCAACCACACACTCACACACTCGCCCACACACTCATCCACACACTCACCCACACACTCACCCACACACTCAACCACACACTCAACCACACACTCAACCACACACTCAACCACACACTCACCCACACACTCAACCCACACACTCAACCCACACACTCAACCCACACACTCAACCACACACTCACACACTCGCCCACACACTCATCCACACACTCACTCACACACACTCAACTACACACTCACCCACACACTCACCCGCACACTCAACCACACACTCACCCACACACTCAGTCACACACACACACTCAACCACACACTCAAGCACACACTCAACCACACACTCGCCCACACACTCGCCCACACACTCATCCACACACTCACCCACACACTCACCCACACACTCAACCACACACTCAACCACACACTCAACCACACACTCACACACTCGCCCACACACTCAACCACACACTCACCCACACACTCACCCACACACTCAACCCACACACTCAACCCACACACTCAACCACACACTCACACACTCGCCCACACACTCATCCACACACTCACTCACACACACTCAACTACACACTCACCCACACACTCACCCGCACACTCAACCGCACACTCAACCCACACACCCACACACTCAGTCACACACACACACACTCAACCACACACTCAAGCACACACTCAACCACACACTCACACACTCGCCCACACACTCATCCACACACTCACCCACACACTCACCCACACACTCGCCCACACACTCAACCACACACTCAACCCACACACTCACCCACACACTCACCCACACACTCACTCACACACACTCAACTACACACTCACCCTCACACTCAACCACACACTCACCCACACACTCACTCACACACACTCAACCACACACCCACACACTCACCCACACACTCACCCACACACTCACCCACACACTCAACCCACACACTCACCCACACAACAACAACAACCGCCATTTGCCACTAAGTGGTGGTGACATCACCATGACGCTTGTGCCAGGCCATGTGCACAATGAGGCCACGGGGCAGACCCAGGTGCCACGGGTCGACTGACTGAGATGACTGGCTGATGCACCACCTGTGCCCCCTACTGTGCCAACCTGCTGTGCTTTAGCCACCCAGCGCTCCGCTCGTTGTTGTGAGCGTCGCTCGTTGTTGTGAGCGTCGCTCCTCCGCCCTCCGTTGTTGTTGGAGGGTGACTGCCTCTAACTGCCCAGTAGCGTCCTTCATGAGCCTCCTCCACAGAGGCCGATCTTGACACCGCTGGTACCAGTCATCGGCAAGTCCACTCAGCTCCACGTCCTCCTGTACCACGTCACTCCATCTCTTCTCTAGCCCGTCACTCACTCACACACACACCCACACACTCACTCACTCACCCGCTCACACACTCACTCACTCACCCGCTCACTCACTCACCGGTCGCTGACTCACCATCACTCACTCACCCGCTCGATCATTCGCCCACTCGCTCATTCGCCCGCTCGCTCACTCACCCGCTCGCTCACTCACCCGCTCTCTCACTCACCCGCTCGCTCACCGCTCGCTCACCACTCGCTCACTCACTGACCGCATGTTCACTCACCTACTCGCTCACTCACTCACCGCTCGCTCGCTCGCTCACTCACTCACCCGCTTGCTTACCGCTCGCTCACCGCTCGCTCACTCACCGCTCGCTCACTGACCGCATGTTCACTCACCTACTCGCTCACTCACTCACCGCTCGCTCGCTCGCTCACTCACTCGCTCGCTCACTCACTCACTCACTCACCGGTCGCTGACTCACCCTCTCACTCACCCGCTCACTTGCCCGCTTGCTCGCTCACTCACCCGCTCGCTCACTCACCGCTCGCTCACTCACCGCTCGCTCACTCACCGCTCGCTCACTCACCGCTCGCTCACTCACCGCTCGCTCACTCACCGCTCGCTCACTCACCGGCTCGCTCACTCACCGCTCACTCACTCACCGCTCGCTCACTCACCCGCTCGCTCACTCACCCACTCGCTCATTCGCTCGCTCGCTCACTCACTCACACTCACTCACCGCTCGCTCACTCACCGCTCGCTCACTCACCTGCTTGCTCACTCACCCGCTCGCTCGCTCACTCACCACTTGCTCACTCACTCACTCACTGCTCACTTACCCTCTCGCCCACGCCATCACCCACTCACTCACCGCTCGCTCACTGACCGCACGTTCACTCACCGCTTGCTCGCTCGCTCTCTCGCCCGTTCACTCGCTCGCTCACTCGCTCACACTCACTCACTCACCGGTCGCTGACTCACCCTCTCACTCACTCGCCCACGCCATCACCCGCTCACTCACCCGCTCGTTCACTCACCGCTCGCTCACTCACCCGCTCACTCACCCGCTCGTTCACTCACCGCTCGCTCACTCACCCGCTCACTCACCCGCTCGTTCACTCACCGCTCGCTCACTCACCCGCTCACTCACCCGCTCGTTCACTCACCGCTCGCTTACTCACCCGCTCACTTGCCCGCTTGCTCGCTCACTCACCACTTGCTCACTCACCCGCTCACTTGCCCACTTGCTCGCTCACTCACCGCTCGCTCACTCACCGCTCGCTCACTCACGGCTCGCTCACTCACCCGCTCGCTCACTCACCCGCTCGCTCACTCACCCGCTCGCTCACTCACCACTCGCTCACTCACCCGCTTGCTCACTCGCCGCTCGCTCACTCGCCGCTCGCTCACTCGCCGCTCGCTCACTCGCCGCTCGCTCACTCGCCGCTCGCTCACTCGCCGCTCGCTCACTCACCCGCTCACTCACTCGCCGCTCGCTCACTCGCTCGCTTACCCGCTCGCTCACTCACCACCGCTCGCTCACTCACCCGTTCGCTCACTCACCGCTCGCTCACTCACCCGCGCGCTCACTCACCCTCTCACTCACTCACCGCTCGCTCACTCGCCCGCTCGCTCACTCGCCCGCTCGCTCACTCGCCCCCTCGCTCACTCCCCCCTCGCTCGCTCACCTACTCGCTCGCTCACCTACTCGCTCGCTCACCTACTCGCTCGCTCACTCACCCCCTCACTCACTCGCCTACTCGCTCGCTCACTCACCCGCTCGCTCACTCACCCGCTCACTTGCCCGCTTGCTCGCTCACTCACTCACCCGCACGCTCACTCATCCGCTCGCTCACTCACCCGCTCACTCACTCACCCGCTCACTCACCCGCTCGCTGACTCACCGCTCGCTCACCAGCTCGCTCACTCGCCCGCTCACTCACCGCTCGCTCACTCACCGCTCGCTCACTCACCGCTCGCTCACTCACCCACTCGCTCACTCACCCGCTCGCTCACTCACCGCTCGCTCACTCACCACTCGCTCACTCACCCGCTCGCTCACTCACCCGCTCGCTCATTCGCCCGCTCGCTCTCTCACCGCTCGCTCGCTCACTCACCACTCTTCCGCTTGCTCACTCACTCACCCGCTCGCTCACTCACCACTCGCTCACTTACCCACTTGCTCACTCACCCGCTCGTTCACTCACTCGCTCACTCACTCACCCGCTCGCTCACTCACCCCTCGCTCACTCACCCGCTCGCTCACTCACCCCTCGCTCACTCACCCGCTCGCTCACTCACCTGCTCGCTCATTCGCCCGCACGCTCTCACCGCTCGCTCGCTCACTCACCGCACGCTCACTCACCCGCTCACTTGCCCGCTTGCTCGCTCACTCACCCGCTCGCTCACTCACCGCTCGCTCACTCACCATTCGCTCACTCACCCGCTCGCTCACTCACCGCTCGCTCATTCACTGCTCGCTCACTCACTCACCCGCTCAATTAATCACTTGCTCACGCACTCACCCGCTCACTCACCGCTCGCTCACTCACCCACTCGCTCACTCACCCGCTCGCTCCCTCACCGCTCGCTCACTCACCCCCTCGCTCACTCACCCGCTCGCTCACTCACCAGCTTGCTCATTCACCGCTCGCTCACTCGCCCGCTCGCTCACTCGCTGCGCTCGCTCACTCGTCCGCTCGCTCACTCGTCCACTCGCTCATTCGCCCGCCCGCTCGCTCACTCGCCCGCTCGCTGACTCGCCCCCTCGCTCACTCACCCCCTCACTCACTCACCTAATCGCTCGCTCACTCACCCCCTCACTCACTCGCCTACTCGCTCGCTTACCCCCTCACTCACTCACCTAATCGCTCGCTCACTCACCCCCTCACTCACTCGCCTACTCGCTCGCTCACTCACCCCCTCACTCACTCGCCTACTCGCTCGCTCACTCACCCCCTCACTCACTCGCCTACTCGCTCGCTCACCTCCTCACTCACTCACCTAATCGCTCGCTCACTCACCCCCTCACTCACTCGCCTACTCGCTCGCTCGCTCACCCCCTCACTCACTCGCCTACTCGCTCGCTCACCCGCACATACGCATGCTCACCCGCCGCTACTCACCCGGTCACTCTCTCGTCCAAACAAAGACAAAGATCCCCCGTGTAGCCTGCAACAGACTGTAGGGGCAAGTGCTGTTAGCGAGCAGCAGCAGCACCTGTGAAGGCCGGCACGGCACACGAGGGGGTGGGTGGCCAGCACCACGCCCGGCCGCCTTTGTCTCCCCAGGGCCGATGTTGACTACACACCACTACACCAGGTACCTCATTTTTTGAGGCCGAGTCGGCCTAGGGGAGTCCCAGGACCGGTGCAGGTGACTGTCACCGGTGTTGAGCGTGAGTGAGGAATCGAACCCAGATTTGCCGGGTTCGTGGTGCAGCAGGCGAACCGCGTGCAGCACTTGCCCCTACATTCTCTTAAGGCTATATGGGGGATCTGTGTCTTTGGTGGTGGTTGTTGCTATGCAGGTACCACCTGAAGGACGTGTTCATGGTGGTGGTGGTTGTTGTTGCTATGCAGGTACCATCTGAAGGACGTGATCGTGGTGATGGTGGTTGTTGTTGCTATGCAGGTACCACCTGAAGGACGTGATCGTGGTGATGGTTGTTGTTGTTGCTATGCAGGTACCACCTGAAGGACGTGTTCATGGTGGTGGTGGTTGTTGTTGCTATGCAGGTACCATCTGAAGGACGTGTTGATGGTGGTGGTTGTTGTTGTTGCTATGCAGGTACCATCTGATGGACATGATCGTGGTGGTGGTGGTTGTTGCTATGCAGGTACCACCTGAAGGACGTGTTCATGGTGTCTGTGTGGTGGTTGTTGCTATGCAGGTACCATCTGAAGGACGTGATCGTGGTGGTGGTTGTTGTTGTTGCTATGCAGGTACCATCTGAAGGACGTGATCGTGGTGTCTGTGGTGGTTGTTGTTGTTGCTATGCAGGTACCACCTGAAGGACGTGTTCATGGTGTCTGTGGTTGTGGTTGTTGTTGCTATGCAGGTACCATCTGAAGGACGTGTTCATGGTGTCTGTGGTGGTGGTTGTTGTTGCTATGCAGGTACCACCTGAAGGACGTGTTCATGGTGTCTGTGGTGGTGGTTGTTGTTGCTATGCAGGTACCACCTGAAGGACGTGATCGTGGTGGTGGTGGTTGTTGTTGCTATGCAGGTACCACCTGAAGGACGTGATCGTGGGGAAGATCTACTTCCTGCTGGTGCGTATCAAGATCAAGCACATGGAGATTGACATCTGTCGGCGCGAGACCACGGGGAGCGGTCCCAACGTGTTTCACGAGAACGACACCATCGCTAAGTACGAGATCATGGACGGGGCGCCCGTCAGAGGTGAGGCTACCGCCACCACCGCCACCTCTACCGTGCCTCCTCACACACACCGCTACCACGTGTCACCTCACACACACACACACCACGTGCCTCCTCACACACACACACCGCTACCACGTGTCACCTCACACACACACCACTACCACGTGCCTCCTCACACACACACACACCACGTGCCTCCTCACACACACACCACCACGTGCCTCCTCACACACACACACACCACGTGCCTCCTCACACACACACACTACCACGTGCCTCCACACACACACACACACCACGTGCCTCCTCACACACACCGCTACCACGTGTCACCTCACACACACACACCACGTGCCTCCTCACACACACACACACCACTACCACGTGCCTCTTCACACACACACACACCACGTGCCTCCTCACACACACACACCACTACCACGTGTCACCTCACACACACACACACACCGCTACCACGTGTCACCTCACACACACACACCACTACCACGTGCCTCCTCACACACACACACCACTACCACGTGTCACCTCACACACACACACACACCGCTACCACGTGTCACCTCACACACACACACCACTACCACGTGCCTCCTCACACACACACACCACGTGCCTCCTCACACACACACACCACGTGCCTCCTCACACACACACACACCACGTGCCTCCTCACACACACCGCTACCACGTGTCACCTCACACACACACACCACGTGCCTCCTCACACACACACACACACACCACTACCACGTGCCTCTTCACACACACACACACCACGTGCCTCCTCACACACACACACCACTACCACGTGCCACCTCACACACACACACACCACGTGCCACCTCACACACACCACTACCACGTTTCCACCTCACACACACACACACCACTACCACGTGCCTCCTCACACACACACCACCACGTGCCTCCTCACACACGCACACCACCACTACCAAGTGCCTCCACACACACACACCACGTGCCTCCTCACACACACACACACCACCACGTGTCACCTCACGCACACACACACACACACCACCACGTGCCACCTCACACACACACACACCACCAAGTGCCTCCTCACACACACACACACCACCACACACAGCCTCCCACCCACTCACGCCCTCGCTCACCCATCCTCTCACTCAACCTCCCACCCACCCACTCACTCATCCACTGACTCATCCCCCTGTTGCTCACCAGGTGAGTGGCTCCGCCTCTTCCTCACCGGCTACGACCTAACTCAGCCTCACCCCCTCGCTCACCCCTCACCCCCTCACTCACCCCCTCACTCACCCTCTCACTCACCCTCTCACCCACCCCCTCACCCCCTCACTCACCCACCCACTCACTCAATCTCCCACTAACCCCACCCTCACTCACCCCCTCACTCACCCCCTCACTCACCCCCTCACCCACCCCCTCACTCACCCACCCACTCACTCAATCTCCCACTAACCCCACCCTCACTCACTCACCCACTCACTCACCTCACCCACCCACTCACTCAATCTCTCACTCACCCCACCCTCACTCACCTCACCCACCCACTCACTCACTCAATCTCTCACTCACCTCACTCACCCACTCACTCAATCTCCCACTAACCCCACCCTCACTCACTCACCCACTCACTCACTCACCTCACTCACCCACTCACTCACCCACTCACTCAATCTCCCACTAACCCCACCCTCACTCACTCACCCACTCACTCACTCACCCACTCACTCAATCTCCCACTAACCCTACCCTCACTCACTCACCCACTCACTCACTCACCTCACTCACCCCACCCTCCCACCCTCCCTCCCTCACTCACCCACCCACTCACTCACTCAATCTCTCACTCACCCCACCCTCCCTCCCTCACTCACCCACTCACTCACCCACCCACCCACCCACTCACTCACCTCACTCACCCACTCACTCAATCTCCCACTAACCCCACCCTCACTCACCTCACCCACCCACTCACTCAATCTCTCACTCACCCACTCACTCCAGCTCCCACTAACCCTACCCTCACTCACTCACCCACTCACTCACTCAATCTCACACTCACCCCACCCTCACTCACTCAATCTCCCACTAACCCCACCCTCACTCACCTCACCCACCCACTCAATCTCTCACTCACCCACTCACTCAATCTCCCACTAACCCCACCCTCACTCACTCACCCACTCACTCACTCACCTCACTCACCCCACCCTCCTACCCTCACTCACCCACTCACTCAATCTCTCACTCACCCCACCCTCCCACCCTCCCTCCGTCACTCACCCCCTCGTCCGCTCCCACACCCCCCTCCCCTCCCCTCCCCCTGTCGCTCACCAGGTGAGTCGATCCCGATCCGCCTCTTCCTCGCCGGCTACGACCTCACGCCAACGATGCGCGACGTGAATAAGAAGTTCAGCGTGCGCTATTTCCTCAACCTCGTCCTCATTGACGAGGAGGAGAGGAGGTATTTCAAGCAGCAGGTGAGTCGCGGCTGAGCCTACCCAGGGGCGGCACGCGCGCGGGCCCCGTGTCGCGGCGCTGCGAACCCCCCACCCCGTGACCCTGTGACCCCGTGACCCCGTGACCCCGTGACCCCGGCTCGATTCTCCGCTCGCAGGCGCTGCCTTCGTAGGCGCTGCCACTCGCTAACGGCGCTTTGCCCCGACCGTCCGTTGAGGCCGTACTACGGGGAGATCTTTGTGCGCGCTGTGTACGTGTGAACCTATCTGTGTGAGTGTGTGTGTACGTGTGAGCCTATCTGTGTGAGTGTGTGTGTACGTGTGAATGTATCTGTGTGTGTGTGTACGTGTGAGCCTATCTGTGTGTGTGTGTGTGTACGTATCTGTGTGAGTGTGTGTACGTGTGGGCGTATCTGTGTGTGTACGTGTGAACGTATCTGTGTGAGTGTGTGTACGTGTGAGCGTATCTGTGTCCGTACGTATCCGTGTGTGTAAGTATACGTGTGTGTGTGTGTGTATATGTGTGTGTGTGTATACGTGTGTGTATATGTGTGAGTGTATGTATACGTGTGTGTGCGTGTATATATGCGTGTGTGTATGTATGTGTGTGGGGCTGGTAACCCCTCCACCTTCAACATTTTTACCACGAAACATTTAGGCTAGCCTACCTACGATCCATCCTGGGTTTAACCAGGCTGGATTGTGTGAGGAGCTCACAAATCCTTGAAAGATCTGGGCAAGGTCCCATCGGTGAGCTCCTCCGGACAGGCAAGGCTGCGTTGGCTGGGTCATGTAGCCCGCATGCCCAGCCACCGCATGCCGAAACAGCTTTTGTTCGGCCGGATCGAGGGGACTAAACGGGCGTGGCACAGGCTAGAGAAGAGATGGAGTGACGTGGTACAGGAGGACGTGGAGCTGAGTGGACTTGCCGATGACTGGTACCAGCGGTGTCAAAATCCGGCCTCTGTGGAGGAGGCTCGTGAAGGACGCTACTGGGCAGTTGGAGGCATTCGCCCTCCAACAACAACGGAGGGCGGAGAAGCGACGCTTACAACAACGAGCGGAGCGCCGGGTGGCTAAAGCACAGCAGGTTGGCACAGTAGGGGGCACAGGTGGTGCATCAGCCAGTCATCTCAGTCATCTCAGTCAGTCGACCCGTGGCACTTGGGTCTGCCCCGTGACCTCCTGCCAGCGGGCGTTCGACACTTCACGTGGCCTCAAGGTGCACATGGCCTGGAACCAGCGTCGTGGTGACGTCACCGCCACTTAGTGGCGAATGGCAGTTGTTGTTGTGTATGTATACGTGTGTGTATACGTGTGTGTGTGTGTATGTATACGTGTGTGTGTGTATGTATACGTGTGTGTGTGTATACGTGTGTGTTTGTATACGTGTGTTTGTATACGTGTGTGTTTGTATACGTGTGTGTTTGTATACGTGTGTGTGTATGTATACGTGTGTGTATACGTGTGTGTGTGTGTATACGTGTGTGTGTATGTATACGCGTGTGTGTATGTATACGTGTGTGTGTATACGTGTGTGTGTATGTAAACGTGTGTGTATACGTGTGTATATACGTGTGTGTATGTATGTGTGTGTGTATGTATGTGTGTATGTTTACGTGTGTGTATGTTCACGTGTGTGTATATATGTGTGTGTGTGTATGTATACGTGTGTGTGTGTGTGGGGTTGGCATCATCCCCCACTCCTGTTGTCGAGGGGAAATGGGCGAGGTTTAGGACTGTGGCTCATGCAGCTGCAATGGCTGCATTGGTACACGGCCCACTCTCATCATCCACAGCATCCCACGTCAGAGAATGAGGAGGCTTACCACAGCCTTCGCTCGGAGGATCGGAGAGCCGTGAGGCGCTGCAAGGATGGGTGGTGGTCGCGGGTTGCGGAGGAGATGGAGTCTGTCTCAGTGGCCCGCGATCACAAATCTCTATTTAACTCCATCAAAAAAGTAACCTGCAGCGCCACACCTATTACCATCATTAGGGGAAAGAACGGTGATCCAATCTCTGACCCCCACAGGTTTGCAGATTTGCTGAGCATTTCTGTGAGGTCCTGGGGGAGGGGAAATCCCTCAGCCAGGAAAACATCGTGGCACAAAGTGGGGATGACCCTGCTGAGGCTGCGGTGCCTCAAATATTGGAAGAAGTCACCCCCTGTGAGTGGCTGACTGAGGTGCCATCTGTTGAGGAAGTACTGAAGGCGATCCAGAGTCTGAGACCAGGAAAGGCACCGGGCAGAGATGATTTCCCAAGCGAAATGTTGAGGGAGGGTGGCGTTTGTGCACAGACTGCCATACATGACATCATAACAACGGTCTGGACCACTGGACGGGTTTCGCAGGATTGGAAGGATGCCCTGGTGGTCCCCCTCTTTAAGAAGGGGGACCGCACAGACTGTAACAACTACAGGGCCATCTCACTCCTCAGTCTGCCAGGAAAGGTCCTGGCAAGGATTATTCAACATCGCCTTGCCAGGCACGCTGAGGAGAGGCTTGCGGAGCTCCAATGCGGTTTCAGGAAAGGGCGGTCCTGCACAGATGCCATGTTTTCTGTCCGTCTGCTACAGCAGCGGTGTAGGGAATTCCAGCAAGACCTATATCTCTGCTTTATTGACCTGGTCAAGGCCTATTATACCATCAATAGGCCTGGGCTCTGGGCTTGTTCTTCGTGCTTTCAGAGTCCCTGACCCTCTGCTCACGATCATTAAGGACCTTCATGATGTTAAGCGGGCCCAGGTAAAACTACATGGCCGGGAGCCATTCCCTGTTCACCTTGGGGTGCGACAGGGATGTCCTCTGGCTCCCACATTATTTAACATCTATTTTGACCACGTAGTTTGTGAGGCCGTCAATAGCTGTACCTGAGGAATTTACATCCGGTACAGATACAATTGGAGGCTGATCGATGCCCGGGTGCGGTCAAGGGATGGCTCCCTATTGCCCAACCACGTTATATATGCCGATGATTTGGTAATAGCTGCTCATTCAAAGGAGGAGTTGGAGACGCTGCTGCTTAGACTGAAGCGTGCCACTAAGAGATGGGGCCTTACCATCAGCCCCACCAAAACTAAGCACCTGTCTGGGTATTTTGTACTATCGGACACTCCACCGCCACAACTCCCAATTGGTGATGGGGCAGTTGTGGAGAGAGTGGAGAGTTTCCCATACCTGGGCAGTGTGCTTATGAATGGCTCCGGTTTAACAGCAGAGGTCTCACTCCGAATCAGTCGAGCGGCAATATCTTTTCATCGGTTGTGTAACGCTGTGTGGAAGCTACCTGGTCTGTCGCTCCGCACTAAGCTTCAGGTCTTCTCGGCCACGGTCATTCCCTCCCTTCTCTACGCTTGCGAAACGTGGACCTAATGGAACATCTTCGCCGGTTGGAAACATTTAGGCTGGCCTGCCTACGATCCATCCTGGGTTTAACCAGGCTGTATTGTGTGAGGAGTTCACAAATCCTGGAAAGATCTGGACAAAGTTCCATTGGTGAGCTCCTCTGGAGCCTTAGGCAAGGCTGCGTTGGCTAGGTCATGTAGCCCGCATGCCCAGCCACCGCATGCCTAAACAGAAGAGATGGAGTGATGTGGTACAGGAGGACGTGGAGCTGAGTGGACTTGCCGATGACCGGTACCAGCGGTGTCAAGATCGGCCTCTGTGGAGGAGGCTCGTGAAGGACGCTACTGGGCAGTTGGAGGCAGTCGCCCTCCAACAACAACGAAGGGCGGAGGAGCGACGCTCACAACAACGAGCGGAGCGCCGGGTGGCTAAAGCGCAGCAGGTTGGCACAGTAGGGGACACAGGTGGTGCATCAGCCAGTCATCTCAGTCAGTCGACCCGTAGCACCTGGGTCTGCCCCGTGACCTCCTGCCAGCGGGCGTTCGACACTTCACGTGGCCTCAGGGTGCACATGGCCTGGCACAAGCGTCGTGGTGACGTCACCGACACTTAGTGGCGAATGGCGGTTGTTGTGTGTGTAAACGCGTGTGTGTGTGTACGTGTGTGTGTGTGTCAATCTGTGCCACGCGTGTACACGTCTGTGGGTGCGTCGCAGCGTTTGTGTCTGCGTTGGCAGAATCTGGCGCTGCCCCCCGCTCCACACGCTCCCCCGCGGCGCTGCCCCCCACCCCCACCCCCCCCCCCCCCCCGCTCTCCGCTCGCTCCGCGTCCATTTGCACTCCTCTCTCCACATCAATGATTCAGTCGCGGTCAGAGCTCACAGCGCTCTCACACGCCCCTCCCCCCCATCCCCCCTCTCCCCCATCCCCACCCCCCCTCTCTCCTCCTGCTCCCCCCATCCCCACCCCCTCTCTCCTCCTGCTCCCCCCCCTCTCCTCCTGCTCCCCCCCCCCCCCCCCATTTCAACGGCCCTCTCCACACCCCCCCCCTCTCTCTCTCTGAGCCAGAGCCACTCAGGCCTCTCACTAATTCATGAGCCATAAACACGCTGGCTCACCACCACCATGCTCACCACCACCACGCTCACCACCACCACGCTCACCACCACGCTCACCACCACGCTCACCACCACGCTCGCCACCACCACGCTCACCACCACCACACTCGCCACCACCACCACCACGCTCACCACCACCACGCTCACCACCACGCTCACCACCACCACGCTCACCACCACCACGCTCACCACCACGCTCACCACCACCACGCTCACCATCACCACGCTCACCATCACCACGCTCACCACCACCACGCTCACCACCACGCTCACCACCACCACCACGCTCACCACCACCACCATGCTCACCACCACCGTGCGCTCACCACCACCACGCTCACCACCACCATGCTCACCACCACCGTGCGCTCACCGCTACCCGCTCACCACTCGCTCACTGCCACGCGCTACACCTCCGCGATGGCGCCCTCACCATTGCGCGCGCTCACCAGCACGTGCTCACCACTGCACGCTCACCAGCACGTGCTCACCACTGCACGCTCACCAGCACGTGCTCACCACTGCACGTGCTCACCAGCACGTGCTCACCACTGTACGCTCCCCAGCACGTGCTCACCACTGCATCCTCACCACCACCACCGCCACGCTCACCAGCACGTGCTCACCACTGCACGCTCACCAGCACGTGCTCACCACTGCATCCTCACCACCACCACCGCCACGCTCACCAGCACGTGCTCACCACTGTACGCTCACCAGCACGTGCTCACCACTGCACGCTCACCAGCACGTGCTCACCACTGCACGTGCTCACCACTGCACGTGCTCACCACTGCACGTGCTCACCACTGCACGTGCTCACCACTGCACGCTCACCAGCACGTGCTCACCACTGCACGCTCACCAGCACGTGCTCACCACTGCAGCGGATGGGGGTGTTTGTATCAGCGCTGTAGCGTTGGTGTGTGTGGTGTGTGTGGGGTGTGTGGGGTGCGTGTGGGGTGTGTGGGGTGCGTGTGGGGTGTGTGGTGGGTGTGTGTGTGGTGTGTGTGGTGTGTGTGTGTGGTGTGTGTGGTGTGGTGTGTGTGGTTTGTGTGATGTGTGTGTGGTGTGTGTGGGATGTGTGGTGTGTGTGTGATGTGTGGGGTGTGGTGTGTGTGGTGTGTGTGGTGTGTGTGTGTGGTGTGATGTGTGTGTTGTGTGTGTGGTGTGTGTGTGATGTGATGTGTGTGTGTGTGGTGTGTGTGGTGTGGTGTGTGTGGTGTGGTATGTGAGTGGCTCGCGGTGCAACCCTTTGCCGGTAGAGGGCGTGCGTGCGTGCGTGCTGCACGTATGCCCGTTGAACCTCTTTCGCGCCCTCCGCAGCCAGCCGTCGTTAGTGGGGGGTGTTCATGCACGCCCACGTGGTGACGTGCACACGTGGTGACGTGCACACGTGGTGACGTGCACACGTGGTGACGTGCACACGTGGTGACGTGCACACGTGGTGACGTGCACACGTGGTGACGTGCACACGTGGTGACGTGCACACGTGGTGACGTGCACACGTGGTGACGTGCACACGTGGTGACGTGCACACGTGGTGACGTGCACACGTGGTGACGTGCACACGTGGTGACGTGCACACGTGGTGACGTGCACACGTGGTGACGTGCACACGTGGTGACGTGCACACGTGGTGACGTGCACACGTGGTGACGTGCACACGTGGTGACGTGCACACGTGGTGACGTGCACACGTGGTGACGTGCACACGTGGTGACGTGCACACGTGGTGACGTGCACACGTGGTGACGTGCACACGTGGTGACGTGCACACGTGGTGACGTGCACACGTGGTGACGTGCACACGTGGTGACGTGCACACGTGGTGACGTGCACACGTGGTGACGTGCACACGTGGTGACGTGCACACGTGGTGACGTGCACACGTGGTGACGTGCACACGTGGTGACGTGCACACGTGGTGACGTGCACACGTGGTGACGTGCGTCGGCCGGGTCGCTGGACAGGCGGGGGCCCGGTGGGGCCCGGTGGGGCCCGGTGGGGCCCGGTGGGGCCCGGTGGGGCGCGGTGCGGGCGGGAGAGAGGAGACGTCCTTGCCGATGCGGTGACGGAACCGCCATTTTGTTTGCCGACGACGAGACGCCGGCACCGGCGTGACGCCGGCGTGACGTGGGCACCGGTGTGACGCGGGCGCCGGTGTGACGCCGGCACCGGTGTGATGCCGGCACCGGCGTGACACCCGCGGTGCGGCAATCTGCGCGTTGTCGCTGCGATCGACCCCCCCCGAGCGATGCCGCGCGTCTGCGCGTGTCACAGACGTCATCGCGATGACGATGGCGAAGGCTGCCGATACTGACCAGCCAGCGCTTCGTGCAATTCCGAGGTTTTTTTGTTTTGTTATTCAAACGCCAGGCTTGTAGTCGGTGTCAGAAATATGTTAAAAGTTTTTCTCGGCGCGCACTTTGCCGGGGTAGTGAGGTTTGCGAGTCCTGGGCGTCCCCCCCCCTCCCCAAGATATCGGTGACGCGCCGACGTGTCACCGATATCTTCTCAGTGGCAGTGTATCGTTGATGTTTGTGTGTGTGTGTGTGCGTGCGTGTCGCTGATGTAACGTGATATATGTGTGTGTGTGTGCGTTCTTCGATCATTAGCAGTTTGGCGCGCTCCGCCGCGAACCCCCGATGACCACGGTTCGATCCCTGCTCGTGGCCACCAATATCACCTCAACCGGTCATGGACCTCCCCTAGGTCGACCCGGCCTCAAACGAGTAATCCGGTGCGGTGTTTAAACATCGCCACTGGGGTAGACAAAGGCGGCCGGGCGTCGTGATGGCCTCTCACCCCCTCACTATGAAGACTATGAAGACCAGCGCACTATGAAGACCGGCACCGTGCCGGTCTTCATAGTGCGCTGCTCGCGAACAGCACTTGCCCTAACAGTCTGTCCAGGCTGTACGGGGGACCTTTGCCTTTCCCCCCCCCCCCCCCCCGTGTGCCACGAGCACTTGCGCCAACAGCCTGCCTTGTCGGCTACACGGGGCTCCTTTTGTTTCGTCACTGACATCGTCACAACCCGCGCGCTGCCGCCCCCCCCACTGCCGCCCCCCCACTACCCCCCACTGACCCCCCCCCCCTCCGACCTTCCCCCCCCCCCCCCCCCCCGCAGGAGATCACCCTGTGGCGCAAGGGTGACATCGTGCGGCGTAGCATGTCCCACCACGCGGCCATCGCCTCCCAGCGCTACGAGAGCCCCCCGCCCGCCCCTCCCCCCGCGGCCTCCACGGGGGAGCCGGGCCCCGGCGGCGACTCGGAGCCACCGCCCCACGCCCCAGCGGCGTTCGCTCGCGGCCGCGCCGACGGGGACGCCCCCCGTGACCTCCTCCGCGACGAGGAGGACTAGCGGGGGTAGCGGGGGCTACCAGGGCGAGTGGGACTACCGGGGACTAGCGGGGACTAGCGGTGGGTGACGCCCAACTCGGGGGGGGGTTTCACTTCAGCTTGCGGGTGGCCCGGCTAGGCGAGCCCAGGCTCTGAGGAGGCGGTAACCGGGCACTTGTTAGAATTGTTGAGGAGCTTTTTAGGCCCCTTGCTAGGCCTCGCCCGACTGGGTGAGGCTTTTGCTGGGACTCGTTCGACGGAACTTAGACCCCCGCTGGACGTCGTTAGAGTTAGGCTTCGCTAGACCTTTGCTGGACGAAAACGGGCTTGTTGGTACTCGCTAGATTGAACTGAGCTTTGGTTGACTGCACTGGCCTTGCCAGGCCTTGCAAGGCCTTGTCAGACAAAACCAGCCTTGCTAGACCTTATATAAGACAGAAGTAGGCCTTGCTAGACTTTGCTAGACATCTAGGCCTTGCTAGACCTTAGTACACAGACGTTAGGCCTTGCTCGATTTTGATAGACAAACCAGACTTCGCTAGACCTTGCTAAACAGAAACAGGCTTTATTTACGACTTGCTGAATGCGCCTTGCGAAAACAGAACTAGGCCTTGCCTCGTCTTGTTTGGTTGGGATCGGGCTTTGCTAGGACGTGCTGGGTAGAAGTAGACATTTCTATGCCCTTCTAGGCCCCGCCATGGCCTGCCAGGCCGCAGCCCGGAGCCGCGTCACGACTAGGCCTCGACTAGGCCTCGCGGCGTACTAGGCGAGCGCCAGGCTGTGTTTGTGCTTCTTAAACTAAGGGCCCCGGTCGACCGTCGGTGGGAAAATAAATTGGGGGGGGCTGGGGTGGGGTGGGAACGGATTTGGGGGGGGGGTAGTGGGGGGAGGGGGGTGGTGGGAGGGGGGGGGGGCGCGGGGGATGGATTTAGCTAGTTATTGTCAGATTTGTCGGGGGATCGGCGACGGGCGTTGTAGCTGCGTCCGCGGCCTGGCAGGAGTGGCGGTGGGGGCGGCGGGGGGGGGGGGGGGGGGGTTAAGGGGGCATGAGTGGGTGTGGGGTGACGTGGCTGTGAAGTCAGGTGTTTGTTAATAATCTGTAATATTAATATTGAAGGATAGATTATATTTACTTTATAAGAGAATGAAAAAAAATTGAAGAAGAGAAGAAGAAAAACAACAAACAGCTTTTGCTTACAAGAAGAAGCCTCGGCGGTGTTCACGGCCGACCCTCGCGGCCGGCAAGATGTTTTGTAAACGCCGGGGGGGGGGGGGGGGTGGGGATGGGGGATGGGGGGGGGGGCGACGTTTCGCGCGGTTTTCCCTCCACCCCCCCCCCCTGCCCACCGCACGCTCCGGTCTGTGCGGAGCACGGCGTCATAGATATAAATATATTTTTTAGCATTCTGGCGGCCGAGGTGTTATAGATAAGAGGTGTCGGCGCCATCGTTGGACGGAGGGACGTTGACACTAAACTCTTTTTTAGCGGGCAGACGCCTCCTCCGGCCAATGCCTGTCTTTATTTTTATTTTGTTTTTACCCCCGCGCAACCGAGCCCTGCCCGGTGCGGTTAGGGGGGGGCGGGGGGGGCGGCGGGGGGGGGGGGCCGGAGTTTTTTTTCCCCACCGCGCGTGCCAATCCGAGCTTCTGACGTCGCGCGCGACGGACGAGCGAATCCACCACGGGTTGGTTTCGGCTCGGCCCGGGCAAATAGCCACAGTGGATAAACCACGCGTGCCGTGCCGTGCCGTGCCAGACCCCACCCTGTGCCGTGGTGCCGGCGCCGTGCTGGCTTGGCTCGGGGGGGGGGGGGGGGTAGGTGTTGCAATCTCCTGCCTGGGAATCCTTAGACCAATCGATTTTCTTTTTGCTCAAATAGTTTAGTAAATTTTTACACTCGTTTTCGAGTTGGAGGAACCAACCCCCCAACCTCCCCCCCCCCACCCCCCAACTACCCCCCACCCCCACCCCCCCATAATGGCAGCGCACTGAATGTCGTATATGGACAACATTCTTGCTGTACTGGCTCCGGCCACAGGGACCGCTGCGTTGTTTGGCCAAAGCCCAAAGCCAGAGCGTCTTCAAATTCCACTCGCTGCGACCAAACCGCTTTGCCCGCCCGCCCAACCCGTACCGACAGCCCTCGATTAGAATACAGAGCCAGCCGTTACGCACCGCACTCGCCCGATGATTGGTAAAGACGCGAGCGACACGTGCTTGCGTGCGTTGAAACTCCTTCCGTGTACCGTACGCAGCCAACCCGCGCCAGCCGGAGGTGTGCGGGTAAGGTTAGGAGCAACAAACTAAACACCGCGAAAACCAGCAAAACGCAATGCAGAGCGCGCACCGCACGCGCCGGATGATGGCGAGCGGGCGACGCGACTCCGCACGGGAGTTCCACCCGTGTCGGGCGAACCCTAGGGGGACCACCGTGACCCCCACGGGACACACAGACAGGACAAGGCGGAGCCCGTTAATTGAACCCCCTTTTTTAAGCCTTCGCGAAGTGGCCGCTGCTTTGTGAAATCCACCGTGGAACGAGGGACTCCCGGGTGCCACCGTGTCGGTCACCGGGGCGGTGGTGGGGGGGGCGGTGAGGGTCGTTTGACCATACTTCACCGCGCCGGTCAGCGCGGGGTTTGGCGTGGTGGGCGGGCGGGCCGACGGGGGGGGGGACCGGTGCGGGTGTCGTCCGCCGCTCGTGTTTGACCGCGGCCTGGGAATCGGTAACTCGGGCCTCCGGGTTTCCTATTGCGGTGCGCTAACCACTCTGCCACCACTCCACTCCGCACGAGCCAGCCCAAGCCACGCTTGGGCTGATTGATGGCGCTCCTCAATCGACGCTGGATGGTTTGCGAGTTCAAAACCTGGTTGTGGCGGTTCACCCATCCCATCATCACTCCCATCATCATCATCATCCCTGCGGGGTCGATAAAATGAGCACCGCTTAGTGTCGGTGGTGGGTGTGCGGTGTGGGGGGGGGGGAAGCCAACCGCGTTTTTTGTTCACTGGAATAAACTTCCTCTCTGAAAGCCTCAACCTCGATCGCCCATTCTCTCCCTCCACCCCTCCACCCATACCCCCTCGTGATCCCCGAACCGAGGCCGCCCCGGGGCTCGAGTGGTCCCCCCGGTTGAGACTTGAGACTGAAACCCACCGTGCCCATCGCCGATGAAGAATTGAAGAAACGTGGGATGCCGAAGGGAACGCGTCACGTAGGACCCAACGCAAAGAGCCGCCCCTCCCCTCCCCCCCCCCGCACCGTGTCGCCTGGAGCATATGCGCTGAATAATGTACGTCAACTTATAAATCTTCCCCCCCCCCCACACACACTTTGCGCAGAAGCGTGGCCACCACATCTACGCCTCTCTGTGAGGAGCGAAACGGATCTGGCTGTCGCCTGATGAAGCCGGTTGTAATTAGCGGCGAAACGTCGTGCTCAGATTGTAAATGTCGTGGCTTGGCTCTCCGACACACAACCGGTGTGCTACACTATACACTACACTATACACTACACTATACACTACACTATACACTACACTATACACTACACACTACACATACACTACACTATACACTACACTATACACTAGTGCTGTACACTATACACTATACTATACACTACACTTCACACTACACTATACACTACACCATACACTACACTATACACTACATTATACACTAGTGCTGTACACTACACTATACACTACACTATACACTAAACTACTATACACTACACTACACACTACACTATACACTAACTATACACTACACTATATACTACACTAATATACACTACACTATACACTACTGCTATACTAGTATACTACCTTATACACTACACTATACACTACACTATACACTAGTGCTGTACTAGTATACTACACTATACACTACACTCTACACTATACACTACACTATACACTAGTGCTGTACTAGTATACTACACTATACACTACACTCTACACTATACACTACTGCTATACTAGTATACTACCCTATACACTACACTATACACTACACTATACACTACACTATACACTAGTGTTGTACTAGTATACTACACTACACTATACACTACACTATACACTACACTATACACTACACTATACTATACACTAGTGCTGTACTAGTATACTACACTATACACTACACTATACACTACACTATACACTAATGCTGTACTAGTATACTACACTATACACTGCACTATACACTACACTATACACTATACTATACACTAGTGCTGTACTAGTATACTACACTATACACTACACTACACACAAGTGCTGTACTAGTATACTACACTATACACTACACTATACACTAGTGCTGTACTAGTATACTACACTATACACTACACTACACACTACACTGTACACTACACTGTACACTACACTATACACTAGTGCTGTACTAGTATACTACACTATACACTGCACACTAGTGCTGTACTAGTATACTACACTATACACTACACTAGTGCTGTACTAGTATACTACACTATACACTAGTGCTGTACTAGTATACTACACTATACACTAGTGCTGTACTAGTATACTACACTATACACTACACTCTACACTATACACTACTGCTATACTAGTATACTACCCTATACACTACACTATACACTACACTATACACTACACTATACACTAGTGTTGTACTAGTATACTACACTACACTATACACTACACTATACACTACACTATACACTACACTATACTATACACTAGTGCTGTACTAGTATACTACACTATACACTACACTATACACTACACTATACACTAATGCTGTACTAGTATACTACACTATACACTGCACTATACACTACACTATACACTATACTATACACTAGTGCTGTACTAGTATACTACACTATACACTACACTACACACAAGTGCTGTACTAGTATACTACACTATACACTACACTATACACTAGTGCTGTACTAGTATTCTACACTATACACTACACTATACACTAGTGCTGTACTAGTATACTACACTATACACTACACTACACACTACACTGTACACTACACTGTACACTACACTATACACTAGTGCTGTACTAGTATACTACACTATACACTGCACACTAGTGCTGTACTAGTATACTACACTATACACTACACTAGTGCTGTACTAGTATACTACACTATACACTAGTGCTGTACTAGTATACTACACTATACACTACACACTAGTGCTGTACTAGTATACTACACTATACGCTACACTATACACTAGTGCTGTACTAGTATACTACACTATACACTACACTAGTGCTGTACTAGTATACTACACTATACACTAGTGCTGTACTAGTATACTACACTATACACTACACACTAGTGCTGTACTAGTATACTACACTATACACTACACTACACACGAGTGCTGTAATAGTATACTACACTATACACTACACACTAGTGCTGTTCTAGTATATTACACTATACACTACACTATACACTACACACTAGTGCTGTACTAGTATACTACACTATACACTACACTATACACTAGTGCTGTACTAGTATACTACACTATACACTAGTGCTGTACTAGTATACTACACTATACACTAGTGCTGTACTAGTATACTACACTATACACTACACTATACACTAGTGCTGTACTAGTACACTGCACTATACACTACACTATACACTAGTGCTGTAGTAGTGTCCTACACTATACACTACACCAGTGGTTCTTAACCTTGTTGGAGGTACCGAACCCCACCAGTTTCATATGCGCATTCACCGAACCCCTCTTTAGTGAAAAATAAAATGTGATTTTTTTCAAATTCAAGACATAGATATGTTTTTTACTGGTACACAAAATGAGCC